TGTCCAAACGTTGAAAAAAAAAAATATGTGGTTGTCATGACAATGATCAACAAGCCTGTTGTTGTTGCGATGAAATTGGCGTTGTTGCCTTGTACATATTCATCTGTCAATTTACCCTATTTTGCCATTTTTTCACATTTTTATAATTCTTGATACGCTGCAAAACTGAGCGTAGCAACTGTAGGCTTTTTGTTTATTGCCATAGCAATAACATACTAAATTTTTTCGACATTTGGACAAGTAGAAGCAAAGTTATAGCGATATAAGCGATTTTTTAAATTCTTCCATAGTAATTCCCATACAAATTTCAAATCATTGGCGCGACCTCTAAACCTTCATCAATCTTTACCAATTTTTGCACAGGTTCATATTTTGGGGCTATGAATCGAACTGGAGGGTGGCCCATCAGAAATTCATCACTTTTTTCAGAATGAAGCACCCTATTGATCACTCGATTCAAGCGTATGCGCAAAGATCTGTGCACGTAGATGGCAAATTTATCATTGTCGGATAGTTTGTTTACCCATCAATATGGGTATTTTTTAATCGGGGTGACGTCTTGAGATCGAAAATTGACATGCGACACCATTTTGAAATCGAAGATGACGACTTCTGACTTATGAAAAAGTGGAAATACAGTCAAATACACATCAATATTGATATTTTTGTAATCGGTATGAAGTCTCAAAATCTGATTGCACTAAATTGCCGAGATTATATTGAAATTAATCTCCTAAAACTTAGCCGAACAAACATAATAAAATGCCGAAGTCTGACATTTGATCTCATAATAGGTTTGTTTACCCCTTTTACACTTGTGCGTTGTGCGTAATCTTCTGGGACAAGGTGGCGGATTATTTTTCCCGTTCAACTGCTCGACTGTCAAACTCTCATGCAGCGAATCATGAAAGTGGAACAGGCTCACTCACTCGCCAAGCCACTCGTGACTAGTCCTGAGCGCCGCAGCACAGCGCCACCGTCGCCGCACTTTTTCACACGCCGCCGCCGCCGCCGCAGCCGATTTTGATGATTTTTGATACGCAGCCGTTATAATTTTGGATTCGCCGTCAATGTAATATTTTTTATACTTTTAAATTTTTAAAGACGTGGTTATCGATGGTTGGCACATTATAAAACACAAACAAGGTCAAAGTTCCAAAAAACAATTCCGTGGACTCCCGGTAAACTGACACGCCGTCCAAATTATTTCTCAAACGACATTTAGCAGATGGAATGGAGAAAGGCAAAATGGAACGATGCATGCGGAACACAAAATCAACACAAAACAGCAAATAAGGCTACCAGAAACTCCCGTTTCTGATGGTTATAGCCCAAGCAACAATTCAGTAACCATTTGGCATCCACTCTGATTTATGATGGTTTTATAACGGCAATGAACAATCCATTTAGTTTAAATATAGCATTTTAAAGTGTAAAACATTCCTGCTTAGTAATTCAGCTTTTTGCTGTTTTAAAAACCTTTTATAGTCTGGCAAGAAAGTCAAAAACTGTCTTGTTTTAAAAATAAATTTAAAACAGTTATCATTCCCTCCTTAAAACTGTTCTGTAATTCAAGCATAAACGTCATTAGCAATTGTTTATTGATGTCATGATAAAATACTTTATAAACGTGTTTTTATCATTATAAAAGCAACCATAAAACAATTAGGTTTTGCATTAGAGAAAAAAGTATTTATTTTTGCTTTTTAGCTTTTTAAAGTGCATCATTAACTCCCCAATTACTTTGTTTACAAACTGAGCTTAAAAGATGGTTCCTCATAGTTAATAAATGCCAAATTTATGACAAGGAAATCTCGAAGGATAGACGAAGTAGGATGAAAAAATCAAGCAATTTCAGATAAATTTACTTCTTTAGAAGAACCAGCACACCACCAACGACTGACCATCTGTCGGAGAAGAGTAAAGTGAGCGGGGCCCTCAAACTCATAAAACATTGTCTAAAGTTGAAAAACATACCAGCCTTCTCCAGATCTGGTTTCCGATCGAGCGATTTTATTCGGCGAAAGACTCTTCGAAAATTTCATTCAACCGTACATCTCTGCATCTTTGGATGGTGCACTTCTGTAACCATTCGGAAGAAGGGGATCTTTTTCGGGAACGATTGCGCTTCCAGTTGTTCGAAATGCGAAATGTTGTAAAACAGTATCGCAAACTATCTCAGTAACTGCTCCCAATCCATCGGGAGAAAATCGCCAGGATAAATCCAGGGTCTCACAGTGCAACTATCGAAAGATAAACAAACTTTGACGTTTAACTTTTTGCAGGCTACTTTGCCTCCATAAATGCTGCCATAAATCTGAACGGGTTAGGATCAAGCAAAATGGCTTTAGATAAATACAATTCACCCTGCAAGTTTTCTTCATAAAAGCCATTTGAAAACCTTATTAATTTGTTAAGGAATTCCTGAAAGCAAAACAACTTTTTCACAAATGACCCATGAAAATCAACTTTCATGCCACCGCCATGTTACAATTAGTTTGCTTGTTTTTTTACAACCTTCGATTTTCAATCAATATTTCCTTAGATATAACTATATTTTGATAAATTTAGCAATGAGCAAACATTTAAATGCGAAAATAATAAAAAAATCTCAGCCAAGCTCGATCTGAAGAATATATTATTTTTTCAATGTTAAATAATTAGTCAAATCGACGTTTTACGAGGGTGTGCATAATTTTTTCGATGTTTTCACGTACATTTCACATAAAATTTGATATGTCACTTAAAACTAGGCCACTTAATGAGAACTATTGTAATAAATTTGGATATTCAACAAGATTTTTATACCATCAGTTTATATTTTAATTATTTTGATAAGATCGGATTCATAAATCCTTTTCTATCTTGATTGATGCTTTCCTAGTGGATTCAGCATGCGGCTAGGGGAAATGGCTCGGAAAGGGTTTTTATTGTTGCTAAATAGCTTTTATTGTAGCTTTCAAATGGTTCTCAATGCGTTCGTCATACAACCTTTTGCAGTAAATCAATCTTGAAGAGCTTCGAGAATACACCCTTCAGAACTTTCTCCAGGGTGGGCCAACTAGACATATTCTAGTCTTAATGAGGTTTTGGTGGATGCATTAATGACAAAATAGCCTTGACCAGGGTTTTATGAATGTTGTTTTATAGTTGCTTTGTAGTATTTCATAAAACTTAAAATATTACTTGGGAGGGTTACTAGAACTTTAAATAAAAAGTGAAACCACCGTTAATGACAAAATAGCCTTGACCAGGGTTTTATGAATGTTGTTTTATAGTTGCTTTGTAGTATTTCATAAAACTTAAAATGTTAATTGGGAGGGTTACTAGAACTTTAAATAAAAAGTGAAACCACCGTCATCGGTTTGGTGAAACCACCATAACTAAATAATAGGAAGATCGGGTATGTGACCGACCCAAACCCAAAATGTGATCGATGTTACAGAACCATCCATGGACCTTACTGACTACCATAACCATTACCATTAAAGTTCTCAAACCATAAGTAAAAGTAAAGTTCCATAAACATTTCACTTAAAGTTTAGTAGGGATTATAAACAATTTTTAACCATTTTCGGTAAGGTCAAGTTATGGTTCGCGTTTATGCGGGCATCTCTTCCGAATAGGCTATTTAATCCGGGATGATTTTAATTACTGAAAAAAACCACCTTAAGCAATAGTTCCGATACTATTCCGAAATGTCACATATATACAGTAATATAATATTTTGGTTTAACTTCAACTTTGAAATGTGACATTTTGGCAGACACCATATTGCTACGCCGATGCACGCCGTCGCCGCTGATAAAAGTCAACGGCGTCGCGGCGCCGCCGCCGAGGCAAAAATGATTTCTACGCCGCTGCCACCGATGAAAGGACCGGTGCACAGGTCTACTCGTGAGTGCCACTGTTCCAGTTTGGTTAGAACTTTTGAAAAGTGTGCATTATAGGAAGGGTAGTTGGACTTGTGGTGGAGCCGACCAGTAAAATATTTGGAACCGACGGTTACACGTCGGATATCGATTGTTGACATCTCTTAGGGTATTTTACACCTTTTCTGAAACCCGATGGCCGCCAGTTTGGATTCCACAATGACGTCGAATATCGATTTGAATTTAAATAATTAAAACTCCAAAACATAATTTTAAAGAATTTATAGCCTTTTCCAGGCAAACGGCGCCGGTGGTGTAGTGGTAAGCGTGATTACCTCTCACTCCAGCAGGCCTGGGTTCAATCCCAGTCGGCGCCGCCGGGATGTTCTGAGGCATAACATCTCTGATCACGCCTTCCTTCGGATGGGAAGTAAAGCCGTTGGTCCCCGGTTCATAAGTTGATGGGTCGATAGGTAGGGTCCAGGTGTGAGAGCTGCCTTTCTGGCACGTCGGTAGCATTGGTGCTCAGCACGGAAAACAAGATCGACGGAAAAAACAAACCAAAGGAAAAAAAAGCCTTTTCCAGGCTGAAAAAAATCATCAAAACTTCAAATTGTCTTTTTTTAACGATAGCAAATCAACCCGTTCGTGACCTCACTACTCACTACATAGCTCTTTTTTCGTTATAATAAGATTCTCTCAGTCCTCACGTCTGCGAAAACTAGATCGTCTAGTTATGTGGAAATGTTTAATTACTGAATGCTTCTTAGAAAAAAACCTAAATCTGTAAGATGCTTGTTTTTATTTAACCATTCTTCGAAACCAAAACCATCCATGTGGTCCACATAATTGACGTAATATCTCTGATGCAAATGATGAGCAGTATCGTTACGGTACTCGGCCCATCTCATCGGGTCAACAGCTGCTGGGGGGAGTTCACCTTAACGGTTAATTGACCTTTCCTCGAAGCTCATTTGAATTTGCAAACAATTAGCATGGCACTACCGTTCGACGATGGAGATGGTTTCCCAGATCCACCTTACCCATCCTCATACACTGATTCGCTCCAAAATGTCAGAGCTTTAACCTTTCTCCTCTTGATTTCTTTCTTCGTCTCTTTCTTTGCAGGCTATGCATCTTCAACATTGAAATCAGTTTTGCGAGAGTGATTCCATTTTGCGCGCATATGTAAATAGGTGCACATTGTTCGGCTGTTCGTGTTCGGTAATAGGTGCTGCCACAAGCCAAGTTTTCCTAAGAGTGCGAAAATATTTTTTCTGCAGTGTGAATTTTCGGTTTCGAAGTCGCTTCCAGTGATAAGAGGAAGGAAGAAGGAATAGAAGAAAAAATACAAAAGCAAAGCCAAGAAGAGAGTGAATTGCTTGAATATTCAAATTCAATGCTTGCATTTTTTCATCTTTGCAACACCTGATCAAAGAAAGTGAAAATAACAGACGTCGAGCATCCATAGCATCCTCACCCTCGCCCGGCAGCAGCAGTGAACGAAAGTGAAAACAACATCAATAGCAGCAGCAGAATTCCAACCATGAATCGGCTCCGAGTGTTCAACTTTATGCTGTTTGCATTCTGCTTTTTATGTAAGTCTAATAATATCAATCCGTTAGAGTGTTTTCCTTCTTCGCTCTTCTTCTTTTTTCTATTTCTTGTATTGTTTTCACGTCTGAATTTTCCTACACTTTTGCAATGATCATAATTTAATCGTTTCATTCATTTCGTGCCATTCACTTTCATTACTATTTTTCATTCCACCCATCGACCGACACACGCACACGCGTACCGCTTCATCACTCATTGCCATCATCTGTTTAGCATCGGCTATTATTATTACCGCATGTGCTTGCTCGCACCCCCGTCCACCTACTTGCACAATTGGCGATTACTAATGACCATTTTACCAGCATTCATATATAATCAAAGTCGGGAAAAGGTTCAACTAACGCAAAATGTAGAGATGGTAGATTTAAAGCTTATTTCCCCTCATACCTGCCTTCTCCCCTTCGATTGACGACCCAGCCGGTTCAACATTTGCTGCTTTATTCATGAATGCACTTTCTGGATGAATAAATTTCTAATGAATATGAATATGATGCTCTTTCTCTGTGCTGGGTCAGCTAATGCTAGCTAACTACAAAGTGTAGGTTTTTTGTTTGCCATATCCATTCCAAGCTCGTTTACTGTGTTAGAGCTCCACAAATGCATAAATTCAATACCAAATCAACTGTATGTTACGTAAAGTACCGAAATGGCACGTACATTTTAACATTACCTAATGTCGTCGTTCAGAATCATCACATATGTTTATCATGTTGCAAAGAAGACGACACAATTAATCAGAAATTAAATTTCCGGATTAAAGAACTGTCCCGTATTCGGAGCATTACGGTAGTTCGAAAAAAAAAAGTCAGTCATTCTGTGCTGTACGACATGCAATTTGCTGTAATATTCGGTGTTCCTGAATGATGTTGTTGGAATTCTGGTACTAATTAGTGGCTTGCTGATAAATGGTTAAAACTTTCTGCTCCGATTTAATAAAGTATAGTTCTGATCTGCTAAAAAAGTTGCTCGACAGAATAGTTCTTCCCGTAGCGCTGGCAGATTAAATCGTAGCACGGGTTGGAATGTATTCGGATTTTAGTTTAAAAGAGAGTTACGTACACACATAGAAATAAATTTACACGTGACGGAATCCATCTTTGAAATAAAGGATAAGACGTAAACAAACATGTCAAGTAAAATTAAGTGCTCCGAGACTGAAAAGTTTGAAATTACGTTTGATTGAGCTTAATTTCGCGTCTATTATGACTCAATTTTATGTCAAAATTTACGCTTGTATATGTCAGTCTCAGAGCACCTAAATTTATATCAATTTTTCTAAGTGGCTTCATCCTATATTCAAAAGCTTGTTCTGGACCAAATTTGTAAAAAAATTTCCAACTCGCATAATTATTAAGCCTATAATTACTTCTTTAAAATTTCTCAATTCCTGATTTAAAGTTTGGTACTAATTTTCGTTGAGAGCGATTCCTTTAGAAGTATCTTATCTCGCACGAGCTTTTCCAATTTGGATGGGTCTTTTCATATGTCTTCAGTTTGGGAGATCTATATTTTCCGTAGGTCAAGAGATGATTTTTACTCACAACTAAATTTTCAGAAGTGCGTGTATATTTTAACAGTTTTTTTAAAGGGGCAATTCAGTTTCCTACGACTTTGTCTCAGACGTCATTTCAATTAGATGAGCTGTTTTCGTGCTATAATTCATTGGGAAATTCCGAAAACGCCATTTTGAAAAATTATGCGTGAGTCAAAATGGCCGAATTTCAGCACAAACTTGGTTCATTGCCCCTAGCGAACAACTATGCGAAGTTTCATGGAATTCTGAGAGGGAAAATGTAAAATTTGTTTATTTTTTCGCTATTTGACCAGGAACTGCAATCTTAGTACCACGTGGTACTACCTAGAATGTTTGATGCTCTTGAATCACGCTCAGAATAAAAATACAGTATCGCTTTAATTGCTGTACACTTAAGACCTTTTTTGTGGCATGCCACACATCACGAAGCGCCTAATCATCCAAGCCTCCAGAACAAGTTCAACCACGCAATGACACATGTCACGCAAGCAAAACATCGCTAAAAGCTCGGAATTCTCAGCCGAAGCAGAACCAGGTAATATTACCGCACTCGTCACATTCGAACCGACCGACCCAGGGTCAAGTTCATTCCCATATCTCCGGCATATAACATTGCACAACGATTAATTATCTCAACACCTATACCATGAACGAAAATCGTATTCCACGCTTGGGCACGCACACGGCAGTCTGGCCCAGGGCCCGATTAAGATACGCATATTAACTAAACCGTAATTAAACCCCCCGTTGAAAAGAAAAGAAACATAGTACATAACTTACACAAACTGTGAAGCTTGCTCTTGCCTATGAACTCGCCGATCCGAGAGTGTCGCTCTCTGAGGTCAACTCTCGTACTTGTAGTAAATAGCATTCGCATCAAAGTAACCTGCATGTTCCGGACATGTCGGTTCAAGAGAGTGTCCCCATGATCGCAGCAACCCAATTACCGGGCCGAAAAAAAAAAGTGAATAAACTTTTTTGTGTTGCTCACTTTTGCCACTTTGAACGTGAGTAAACCAGCTACTTGACCTCTCCTGCGCGGTAGATGCGGTGTAGGTAGCCGTCAAGAGCACGCGCTGCACTCATTGAACGTGGAGTGCGGAGGTAAGGGATCATGACGCCCTGGAGCTGAGAGTGCTGCAATTGCGAGTGATTTTCAAGTTCAAGTGCTTTAGTCTCCCTTTTTTGCTGCACGATATTAACGAGTATTATATGCGATACAGTTTACGGTTGCTCGGAGGGTATATCGGACTTGAATGGAACCATATCCTCGAATCCTTGGAGCGCGAAATGGTACATTTTCCGTATGAATTACGCACATCTCGTCACGGTTGATTTGCGCACAGACGAGGCCTACTAGCTCTGCGTTTCTGTGTTTGTTCGAGAAATCGCTTGTTCGCCCTTGGACGAATCCGATGGTCTAGTTCGTTGGTTGCTAGGTTATTTAAAAAAAAGACAGGGCATAGCTGATGCAATTAGATACCACTTCAGAATCTGTTGCGAGACAAAGTAAATCTAATTTGTTTGTTTCTAGTAATGATGGTCGGTTCAGGGTGTCGATTTTGGTCCAGGCGTTTTAAAATAATAGACCCCATTATGATCTGTTATGAACGGAAATTCGTCCAATAAAGCACTTTTAGCTTCCTTGTCTTCAAGAATAGCCAGGCAAAGGTGCTTGCAACTTGACTAAAAATAACGCACACAAATTAGATCATTTATGACTTGCAAATATACTGTATTTGATTTGAAACCGGCTAAATCGAATTAAACCGGATAGCGATCGAGCGAATATGACAACTTGTACCCAACAGGTGATTGAACGGTTGCGGTTTGGAGAAACCGATAATTCAAGGTTCGTGGCGGCTACCGGCGTAGGAATTTTTACTACTGGGGTGGGGCGAAACTGGGTCCTCGATCATTTGAGGCTCCTGCGTCATTTGGTCGTAAAATCGTGAACTCATTTGGCATTCAACCGTGACAATGTTTTGATTTGACGTTTCATCCTTTATGCGGTTGAAAATAAGGCCCTCCATAAAGTAATAAATGATAAAGCATTGAAGTCTGCCAAAAGCTGTTCCAATCGTAATGTCAAAATGCAGTGGCTCGATTGGAACAACTTTTTTTGTTTCAGTTTTCTGGTTTCAGTCGTCCATATTTTTACTAGAGGACTTTAGTCGAAAAAGGCTAAAAGTCTTACAAAACGGCTACTTTCACTTTCGACACTTTAACGGTCTGACTCATTCAATATGCTACCCACAGATCAAATCCTAATTGTGAGGACAAACGCTATGACATTCAACAATGTCACTTTATTTGTCATCTAGCGGCTATCCAACAACTGAAATCAATCAATCCTCGCTGGGACAGGAAATTTTAACTCCAATTAAATCCGAAATGGCATCATAAAACTTGGATTAAGTGATGGCAGTGACCACGGCGATTCGAATGCAACCGCACCTGACTGAATCGGATGGGAAAAATTGTCAATGTCGACTATCAAACCGGCGGCTCAAAAATGAAAGGGTCAATTAAGGCCGCGGCTATTCCGTTTGGAAAATGACAAATTTGCCAGTGGAGCGAGCGGCAAGGTGATCCAGACGACGATGACGATGACGACCAAATTTGTACGATCTAATGAAGTGTCTTTTGGGGTGATGAAGAGAAGTGTGAAATGCAATGGCAAGAATTGATGAGTGCCATTATCTGTGGAGGGAACTGCTTTATTGTTTTGCAGTGGTTGCTGGATCAAACTCGGATTGGCAATGAGAGATTATTTTTCATAGATTGAATCATTTCTTGAAGGATTCGGAATGCACCGAACGGGTAATAGCATCTTGATGCTAGTTTGATTGCGGCAAAGTGTATGGGAAGCTGTTTCGAACCGCGAAAACAAATTATTGAGAGCTTACCTAGGCCTTTAATTAGGCAATGAAAAGTAATGGTGCAATCTTGTAGTGTAGCATATTTAAACAACAGAGAGCTAGTTGATTTTAAAACAAAACATAAGTACTTAGTTGTACCCGTTGAACTGAGTGATACAATTATCCCTAATAATTTTCACATAAAATCGCTTAACTTTCGCTCCATAATTCTCTTTTAAATTCCCTTGCAAAAATTCAATTGGAATAGTATATCGCACAATAAATACCTTGGTATTCTTCACAGAACTCTCCAGGAATTCCTAGAAATTTTGTTCTGAATTTTTGTAAAATTCTTCTCGATTCTCCTCTTTTTGGATGCTTAAATATGTTAAGCATTCTTGAATTTTCTTGAAATTTTCCTCATCATTTTCTTGGATTTCTCCAATTGAATTGCATTAGAACTATCCGTGAAATCAAAATTGAAATTCTGCTGATAATCCCCTTCGAATGCTCCTCAAGCAATCATTCTTAGATTTCCTTCGGAACTATAAGAATACAATTCCTTGGAATTCTAGGAACTCTCCTT